GCCTTGTCCTTAGAAGGGCTTTTCGTGGCTTATAAACAATAATCTAGTAAGATAAAATAAAATTAAATGGGCTTTTAAAAATCAGGTGAAACTATTCCCATGGGAGGACAATTCAATATACCATAGTTCTGACATGAGGTTTTCTGTTTGGTCTGACTTAATCCAGTGAAATATTTTTTAGGAGATCTAGAGTACTGAAAAGACTGAATGCTCTTTAAGAAATCCTGAATAAAGTCTACGTATTTCAGCTAAGCTTTTCATAGATTCTGAAAAGCAGAGTCAAGATTATACTAGATGAATATTTAGAATTGTGTTAACAGATTAGAACCATATGCTTTAATTCCTAACCTGGGCTTGAGGCATTAGAAAATTTCGGGAGACAATGATCTGTAAACTAAGATCTGAAAGATGTGCACAAGTTGGGTTACACTCTGGAGGTCAGACGGAAGAGTGATTCAGGCAGGGAGAACAGCATGGACAAAAACCCAAAGGCAAGAAAAAGTATTGTATCTATAAAGAATTAATATTCAGTGGTCATGAAACAAAGAACTGGTGGCAAGGTGAGGGTGGATACTAAAAACGGGGCTGGAAAACTAAGGTGGGGCATATCATAAAGGAACCCAGGAGTCAGGCTGAGTTTAGACTTAATCTTCAGAGCAAAGGGACACAATGAAAAAATTTTAATCAAGGAAGAAAGCCTATCAAGTTTACATTTTTTATGTTATTTATTTTATTATTTTAAAAAAGATTTATTTGGGGGGGGGAAGCTGTGGGTGGGGGAGAAGAGAGAGAGAGGGAGAGAGAAACTTAAGCAAACTCTGTACTGAGCGCAGAGCCAGATGCCGGGCTTGATCCCACGACCATGAGATCGTGACCTGAGCAGAAACCAAGAGTCAGAGGCTTAACTGACTGCACCACCCAGGCGTCCAGAGTTTATATTTTTTAAAGATATTTTCTTATCTTATTAGCACTAATCCAAAAGTAAGGTTGTTAATCTACTTTTTTGTTTTCCCTGTGCACAACTGTAAGCTCCAGGAAGACAGAGCCCTTATTCACAATTTTATCTCTAGCACTTAGCTTATTATCTAGCACACAGTAGGTGACCAAAAAATATCTGTTGAATAAATGTTAAAACACACAATTCTGTACTTCACTGGTAACACAAAACTGCTGTATTCTGCTTGCAGTATGGAGAATGAGTTGGGGGGAGATGTGGAGTACACAAGAAGAGGAAGACCAATTATTATAGCCTATACAGATATATAGTAATATCAACTGTATTCTCCACACAAAATGACTACTGTAAATACAGGACTATTGTAAACACAAGAATGTGAAAAGCCTTTGGGAAGTTTTAATAAAATAGTCAATGTAATAGTCATTATTCAGAGTAAACAAGGTATGTTTCTGGGGCACCCGACTGGCTCACAGTCAGAGGAGCTTGTGGCTCTTGATTTCAGGGCTGGAGTCCCATGTTGGGTGTAGAGACTACTTAAAAAAGAAAATCTTTTAAAAACAAATATGGGTGCCTGGGTGGCTCAGTCAGTTAAATGTCCGATCTTGATTTCAGCTCATGTCATGATCTCAGAGTCATGAGATCAAGCCTAGCATCAGGCTCTGCACTGAGCCTGAAGCCTGCTTGAGAGTCTCTCTCTTTTCCTCTTCCCCTCCCACTGCCGCTTGCGCTTACTTGCTCTCTCTCAACAAACAAACAAACAAACAAACAGAAGAAGAGGAGGAAGACTAGGAACAAAGGCCAAACAGGTGATGATAGCTCAAACTAGTGAAGTTGCAATGGGAATAGAGAGAAGATGGAGGTAAAACCGACATTACTTAATTACTGACTAGATCAGTGAACCGGCAGATAGCATTGGCACACTCTTGTGAAAAACGAGACACCCAAGAATAACACTAGCCAAAACTGGAGGATCAATCCATCTCTACTCTTAGAATAGCCATGAGCAGGGACACGATATAATGTTGTTCACTTACAGACACACAAACTGAGACTGAGAAATTAGGTAACTTGTTCAAGGTTACTTGACTAAGGACTGAGACAGGCTCTGGAGAGCTAAAAGAGCAGTTCTCAACTGTGGCCACAGGGGTATCAGAAAACCCTGGGGCCCGGGGGAGACAGACAAAGAGAGAGAAAGTGGCACATGGGTGGGGGTAGAAAAGAAGGGATAAATAGGAAGGAAGAGAGAAAGAGAGGGAAAGGAGGAGGGGGAGGGAGGGAGGGGAAGAAGGAGAAAGAGGGAGCGAAATAAAGAGGAAGGGAGATGGAGGGAAAAAAAAGAAAGAAAAACGAAAGCAATTTTAGTTTCACTCTACTGTGCCGAAAGAGCCACTGAGGTTCCACAATTCCAAATAAAACCATTAAGAGTTTAGGCAGGAAAACTTTCCAAGTATACAGTCTAACCAGACATTCAACTCTGCCATAAAAATCCTCAATTAAAGCACCATACAGCCTCTGGACACTGCAACCTGTAGGCATATTGTCAAAATTAAGCACTTGGAAAATGTGTATCTAGGCAAAAGAGTGATATTTTCAAAATTTCAATCAATCAAATCAAGCCCCTGGCATTAAGCCTTTTAATACCTCTAATTTTTTTTTTTAAGATTTTATTTATTTATTTGACATAGAGAGACACAGCAAGAGGGAACACAAGCAGGGGGAGTGGGAGAGGGAGAAGCAGGCTTCTGCGGAGCAGAGAGCCCGATGCAGGGCTCGATCCCAGGACCCTGAGATCACAACCTGAGCCAAAGGCAGACGCTTAACCGACTGAGCCACCCAGGTGCCCCTACCTCCAATTTTATTTAGAAAAAAAAATCCAAACATCTTGCATTTGTATAAGGCACTGAACAATCAGAGTTACAACTATTTTTCTACCCTCATTTCATACCAACTTCCCTGCCCTCAACTCTTTCTGGAACACACTAAGTTCTCTCCTGCTCTGGGACCTTTGTACTTGCTCTTCTCTCACTTCTTAACATGGTTCTTCCTAGTTCTCTACTTCTCATCTTAAATCTTGAAGATAACCCCTGCAGAGATGGTTTTCCAGCCTGCTTTATCTACATGGGACCTCCCATGTGACTTATTCTCATGGCAGCCAGTGTTCTTTCTTCACAGTACTTAATGGGAGACTGCAAGTCTCCCCACCAGCATGTGAGCCCTCTGAGAGGGAGGGATCTTACCCTATCTCTCAAGCACTGAAAACATATATGGCACACAGATGCTACTGAAATATGTTGGGAGGGAGGAAGGGAGAGGATCAAACTTAGATGCTAGCAGATGTCCGACAAATATCATTAATGAATGAACTTGTTCGCATGGAATAATTCACCATTAATCAATTAAAAATTAAAGAACACACAGCAAAATTGGTGATTCTGATTTTATAAGAGTTGACTATAGCAGTAATTAGGGAATGAATCCATACTTGTCACTTCTCCTAATACCTCTAGTCCATGGTAGTAAAACCATAATGATGAAAAAAGTTACTGCAATTTAATGTAAATTTAAAAATAGAAGAATATAAAATTGTGTTAAATTTTATAAAATAAAATTTTTGAAAGAAAGAGAGAATGCACAGGGGAGGGGCAGAGAGAGAAAGAGAGAATTTCAAGGAGGCTCCATGCCCCGTGTGGAGCCTGATGTGGAGCTTGATCCCATGACCCTGAGATCACAACCCGAACTGAAATCAAGAGTCAGATGCTCAACCACTGAGCCACCCAGGCGCCCCTACAATAAATAAATTTTTAAAAACTAGAGGGAAATACATCAAAATGATAACAGATTACATCTGGATGGTTTGATACAGTTTCTTTTTTACATCTTTCTATATTTTCCAAATGCTTTATAATGAGCATATTATTACTTTGATAATCAAATTATCACACTTTGCTGGCTCTGAAGCTAGCCATAACCATGAACAAAGCATTATACTGATCAATTTTGCAAATTACTATATAATAATAACTCATTTTTAAAAATCTTCAAATGATAGTCATTAAAACTTACCCAGAGTGAGTTTTTGTACTAAGTCTTTGTTACTATCATTCTTTGCCACTTTTTTCTTTTAATCCTGGGAAGTAGTTTAAGCATGGTGGAAAAAACACCTCTGCACTCATTTCCCCCAGAAAATAAAGCTCTAGCCTCTGCCTAGTAGGAAATATGAGAGAAGAGTCCTGAGGGTCCCTTCATGTGCACTTTTTAACTATGGTACTATCTTCCGTTAAAACGTTTTTAAAAGTTTTTTCTCATAAATATGAACTATTTGAATAAAAAGATCTATTTTTATAATAGCTAAAAGAAAAAGCAAACTGATCTAATTTCTCAAATTAGGTATTTTAAACCACTGCATCTTAAATACCATTCATCTGTGTATAATAATCACAGGCAAAGTGACTACTATTCAGGGTAACTATGTAAATTATTATCCAAAATAAGATACTTGAGAGTGAACAGGGGTACTACTAATAACCATGCCAAGGCAATATGCATAACACTGAGACTATCTCAGGCAAACCAGTCACCCTATTATGAGGAGAATAACTTGGAGCTGAGCTTGCAAACTTAAAAGTCATTACCAGTTACATGAAGTCCTTCCTCAGAACAAAGACATACTCTACCATGCTACTGCCTAATATATGTCACTACAGTGAAAGCAGAAGGCGGAAAGGATTAGCAAACACAGAATAAGACAGTTTTTAAGATATTAATTCTTGCAAAGCCCCACCAAGCAAGCACACACATAAATAATGCCTTTAGAAATTTACATATTGTCTTTCTGCTCAAATAATATAATAACTTGTATATTTTAAACAGATAAAACTGGATAATTCAGCTGGTAGATTTTTCTTCCTCTTACTCAGAATTATTTCAATTAAAGACATGGGGAAAGGGTGAAGAATGGTTAGAAAGAAAAGAAAATGGGCTATATATAGTCTTCTACCTAAAGTAGTTAAGACATGAGAGAAGAATCACTAAATGCCTTTACCCATTCCAGAGTCTTTCTTGGTGCCATCTGATATTATGTCTACATGATCAGAGTCCACATCATAACTAAAGAAATCATTCAAATAGGTCTTCGATCGCTGGCCACCAAATACATATAAGCAACGATTTTTCTGAAAAATAAGGAAAGAGGGCAAAGAAGGGAGAAAGTAGTCACTTCCATGAAGAATTCAGAATGATCCTTTTAAAATTTAAACCTCTATAAAAGCAATTTTATGACAGATCCCATGCAATGGAGTACTATGCTGGTATAAAGAGGAATGATGAAGCTATCTATGTACTGAGAGGTGATCTCTAGGATACCTTATTAAAGTAAAAAAGGTACAGAATAATGAATGCAGGGTGCTGCCTTTGCATAAGAAATGAAAAAAAGTAATGTGTGTATGTTTGTTTCTTTCTTCAAAAAGAAACAAAGGAAAGAAGCTAATTAAAGACCTTAATGGGAAGGGACAGAGCAAGGAAGACAGACAGAAACCAGATCTCTCCAAAAGTACACTGACATACGGTTTTGCCTTTGGAAGTACGTATATTGCTTTTATTTAATTAACTCAAAAGAACAAAAGCAATCTCTGAAATTTGAAAAACAATGAAATAAACTATCTTTAATGAAATAAACCTATCTGTAAAGATATGACCACACAGAGACATGATCACACAGAGTAGTAGTATTTCTAGTGATTTAATTCATGTTTTTTGACTACCCATCCCTACCTATATCCTGAACAGAAAAATAATGAGAAAGCAACCTGAAACATTCAGTAATTTTTGTTAGTTCTGTGATTCTGTAACTATTATAGAAAGACATAAGAAGTAATATAATACTGTCATTAGGAAGTAGGATTTTAACCTTAAGATACATAAATATAAAATCAAAGGGATATTAAATTTAAAAACTCAATAATTCTTAATTTGAATCGGTCATGTCAGTATGAACTAATGATTTAATTTTTCTCTTACTAAAAAAGATATATATGTATTTATGTAATATACATATGTGTGTATACAGCTATATGTATGGGTATACTGAGAAGGGGGCATTCCTACTGGACAAAGAAAAATTTGGGCATCAAAAAGAATAATGACAGCACTGGATTAAAAACATCAAATATATAAAAGTCCACACGTTCATAATAATGCTTAAAAACTATATTGGTTAATTTTGGAGCTTCAACTCATTAATATGAGAAGGTGACAGAGGAAAAAAAATCAAACATTTATATTACCTATCCTCTGTGGTATGCATATCAGGGTAGCCAAATACTTAATGAAGGTAAGTTTTTAATATCAGAATCAGTTAATAAATACAGAATAAATAACATAATTAGAAAAATTACCGTTTTATAAACCGTACACAAAAATTATCAATGACTGCAAAAGCCATTTGGTAAAATGCTGACAAGAACCTTCACTACTGATCAATCAGGCTGATAACACCTAAACCCATCGAATAATTTTAATATCACCAGAACTTTGATAACTACACGTTAAACGCCTCTTGATATTTTGCAATCACACCATCTTTGATGAAGTATTCTTGCATTTCTCCTTTTGCATTCCTCACCCCCCAAAAAAGAGAAAATCTAAAATCAAGCCTCTAGATCTAACTACCAGCTTACAGGAAATATGGAGACTAGATGATCACAATACAAGGATAAAATTAGCCAAATCAAGAATATGGGACATTCGAGAACACATATGATTCAGCTTCTTTAACAAGTAAATAAATGGTATACGAGGGGGAAAAAAATAGGAGCAGGGAGTACTGTTATGCTTAAAAGAAATTTTAGAGACATAACAACCAAATATAATACATAGACCTGTTTTAGAGTCTGACTTGAATAAACCAACTATAGAAAGGTATTTTTCAGTATTTCAGAAAACAAAATAAATGCAGACTATGTATTAAATGATAACATGAAACTGCTGGTGCTTTGGTTGAGTATTACAATGGTCATAATTATGTTTATAAAAAAATCCTTATCTGTTAGTAATACACCGTAGTATTTATAGGTATAATGACACATTGTCTGGAATTTGCCCAGCAAAATACAATTTCAGAATAAACTTAAAAATCGGAGAAACATCAAAGAAAATGAAATTTAAGTGGGATAGATATATGACAAACGAATAGTGGAATATTGCTAACTGTTGAAACAGATAAATAAGTACACAGGAATTTATTACCCTCTTTTCTCTACTTTGATATATGTTTAAAATATTCCACAATATGTTTTTAAAGTTAACAGAAAGAAGCCCAAGTTTTCATATAACATCTGAAAAGGTTAAAGAAATGGCTCCATATTGGTTTTGCTGATAAATTTACATTCTAATTCTATAAAGTCAATTCTTAATTCTTCGTACTTAATGGAGAATGGCAGAGATGAAAATAAAATAGTTGATCTTCTAGTTACTAAGAGAAATCAGTAAGTAGAAAGATGTAAGAAAAAGAAATAGCTACCGTATCTGTATAAGCAGTAGTCTTAAAAAAAAGTGTTGAGAGTAGTATTCAAGTAATAACTATTTAGGAATTACTATGTTAATAGGAAGAGTCTCATAACTAGCAACCAGTTCACTGTTGAGGAAGTTTTACTTTTGTCTATCATTGCTAACACTATGAAAGTGTTTCATTTATTTTTAATGAACAGTTTTGATCTCTTTCTGAAGATTTGGATTTCGCTACTTCTTTTTCTATTGAGAATATACATGACAAAATAACAACACAATGTATAGAATATTCTTACTGAGTGGAATAGCATGCAGTGTCCTATCCGAGACTGGATGTCCTCAGGCCCAGCATTACAGGAGTCCTCTCGAAGAAGTTTCCAAGTTTGACATTGACAGTTGAAAGCAAACAACCCACTGAACTGTGGTTCACTGGCTCTGCTGTCGTCTACGCTGCCATTACATGTCAAAATTCTACCACCAAAGGTGTAGATCATATGTTTTTCTGAGTCCATACACATCTATCAGAACAAGGCAACAGATTGAATCATTACAGATTGTTCCTATCATATGTGATAAAATGAAACCAATGTGTGCAGTTTTAGATTCTCGAGAAACTAAACTTTGTCTTAATAACACTGAATACCACCCCTGATTATCATGTGCACTTACTGCAATAATGCTTACCACCTGGCAGAGATTCATGATGTATTTCTAAATACTTTTTTGGGTTTCCGTTTTTTCCAATGAGAGCAAAATATCTTGGGTTAAAGACCTTTATGCTTTCTTGAAACTGTATAATTTTTACCAAATCAATCAATAATACATGAGGGGCTGATTAATACCAAAGACTGAATGCTAATCATACTCTATGGGTAAACAGTGATCACACCCTCCTTTTCATCCTCCTTATAAAAACTCCCTTCTTTCTATTCTAGGCAAGCATCCATCCTATTAATCTTGCTACCCTTTAAATCAGAGGGCAGCTATGTCAATAAGAGTGATACAACTAAATCTACTTTCTGCATTTATTTTGCTAAGCTCTTCAAATTATGTTGTTACAATATGTAAAACAAAGAAATGTTTGCAGCAGTCTCCAGGCTGACTTCTCTAGTAATGAATCTGCCTCCTTTAACACAATATTATAAATTTAATTTTCTTTGAGGTATGTTATACAATTTATGTTCAAAAGCCAAACTTGATTCTTTCATTCTTTCCACTCAAGGAGATTATGGCTTTTCATAAAAATATCTCTGAGAAAAAAGCCATTTGTCACAAGACAGTAAGAATCAAATTCTATTTCAAAGAATATGTGAGTCCTAGTTGGGAATTAGATGTTGAACACAAATGGCATTAATATTTAAGGAATAAATTGCATATACAAAACATCTATCTTTTGGCTAAAGTACAAATACTAGCCATTATATGTTCAATTTTCTCCTCCCATCAAATTGTGCTATTTATCTATTTTTGTATTGTTTTCAGGAAAAGCTATTTTCATAATTGTAAATTTTGGTTTTTTAATTAATATTAAAAAGAAAAGATTCTAGCATCTCCTGATTTTTCCCTAACCACTAAAAGATCCAGTCACTTGTCATTTCCCAGGTTTCTGACAACCTTCCATAAATTAAGATGAAAATCTATTCCTCAAGGGTGAAATCTTGGTGAATATGGTTCAAAGTATTCCCACTTTTTAATCTTAAATGATCATATCATTAAAAGCTATCCACAAGCTGCTCAAGACAACTCTGTATGGCCCCATTCACCTACTACATCACCATTTGAGGTTTCACTGAACCTGAGTCACATTACCCTGTCCTAGGCATTGAAGACTCACATCTCTCCAAACACCTCAGGATCATGTTGAAAATCTTGAGGGATCCACATTATGGGAGCCTATTTAAAAATTTTTACAAATTTACAGATTCATACTAATTTTGGCTAAACTCTGTTATCCAGCTCCTATGGTTCTACTTCAAAAGGAGTTTCTATTTCCTTCTGGGGATATTTAACTTTAATTTTGATGTGGCTATTCTCATTTGTTATTAGTGGTGAGGCATAAACATCTTTATCTTAGTAACTCTTTCCACCATACCAGACCAAACCAACTCAAAAAAAGAGAAACTGTAGTAGCTTCACTGACTCTTTGCCTATCTTAGAACAAACAGGACACAAAACAGATAAAATTAATTTTATTCCTTCGGGTTGGTTCTTCCCCAGATAAGATACACAGTGTCAATGAGGGTGAGTTATCAAACAAGAAGTGTTAATCACTCTAGGAAACTTTATGTTGTGCAGTTTATGATTTCCTTTTCATTTTTAATCTCTGAAAAAAACTTCTGAAAAGCTAATAACCTATTAAAGTCTGTATGATAATATTAACATCTTTTCTCTTGAAGACTTCAAGAGATCATTTATGTCAAATCTTGGAAGACCACTCACTCATCTACTCTATCAGGTTAGCTACTTAATTCCTAAAATCAAACAAATAGTGGATAGCCACTTATTCCCCACCCCAATGTTTTAAAATCCAAAAGTCTTTTACTCTGTCACATGAACACAAGACTGGCTAGGATTAGGCTGGGTTCAAAACAATTTTTCTCCTCACAAACTCTGAAGCTTTCTAACCAGTGCTGCTCAACACACAAACCTCCAAAAATGCTTCATGTTAATCTACCCCTTGCTTACTTACAAAGGTAACCAGTGTCCTCTCTGCGGCTTTTAGGATTTTCTCTTAATCCATGGTTCTAAAATTTCATTAAGAAAGTATCTAGAAACAGCGCAGAAGATCATAGGTCAAGGGAGGGAAAACTGAAGGGGAAGTCATCAGAGAGGGAGAAAAACCATGAGAGACTCTTAACTACAGAAAACAAACTGAGGGTTGCTGGAGGGGAGGTGGGTCGGCGGAGGGGGTAATTGGGTGATGGGCATTAAGTAGGGTACGTGATGTGATGAGCACTGGGTGTTATACACAACTGATAAATTATTGAACACTACATCTGAAACTAATGATGTACTCTATGTTGGCTAATTGAATTCAAATAAAATATTTTTTTTTAAAAAGGAAGTATCTAGGTAGGGATATTCTTTTTCATTCATCCTAATCTGTCCCTGGTGTTCCTTTAATTCTAAAAACTCTTTCTTCAGTTCTGGGACCTTTCTTCCTTTTTAACCTTAAGGCATGTTGTTTTCAGTTTGCTTTCATTCTCTTTTTCTAGAACTCCTATTAGGTGGATATTAGAACTTCAGGATCTTTTCTCTGTTCCTTAACCTTTCTCTCATAATTTCAGCTCACTAACTTAGTAACTTTTAGAGATGAGAGCTTTTTAATCAATTGACTCAGACTTTTATTTGGTTATCAAATCTTTAACTTATAATTTTTCCAGATATTTCTTTTTCATGGATGAAACAGCCTCCTGAATTGCTCTAAAAATATCACTTAAACTTATCTTAAAGGCTTCTCCAGTCTATACTACTAGCTGTTTTTCTTTGTTAATTCTTAATCTGTTGAGTTCACTACCCCTGTCTGTCTCATGGTATTCATTACTTTCAAATATTTGATTTTTTTGGCTGTTGTTCTAATCCTCTTTGTATCTGCAAATTCCTGTTCACCTGCCTCTTCATATACAGCAGCTCTCCAGTGCCTCTTGGGATCATTGCTCTAACCGTCCAGCTCCAGTGTCCACACTTAACACCTGACCCATGTGGACAAATACCTAAGATAAGTGCTGCTCAGTCAAACTGGAGAATGCCCTGCTGTCCAGTCCCCAACTGATCATCTAATGTTTGCCCCAGTTACATAAACTTTGAGACACTCTTTTTTTTTCTTAAATAAACTTTGAGACTCTAGTTGCTGCAGTCTTATGGGCTCTGGTTTCTTCTGGTTGGATCTGAACCCATTTGCTTTCTACCTTACAGGAACTCTCCCCAATTTTTTTAAGTTCCCCAAGGACATTCTTTCTTGTTTTCAACATTACTATTAATGTGTTCTTTTGCATTTCATAGACTGTGGGGCAAGAGGACAGTAAAAGTTTATGTTCAGCCTACAATCACCTAGTGACCCAGGGAGAAGGTCAATGAACTGAGATCTCCAGTCCTTTGATTGAAGCTTCTCCAGTCACTTCCTGGCTAGCTTGTATTCCATTTTCTAGTAATTTCCTCAAAAAGTGTTTATACTTGAAGGACAATTCGGCTAGATATAAAACCCTTGGCTCACACTGTCTTGTCTTGAATACCTTCTAGATGTTGCTCTATTGTCTCTCTTGGCACTGAATGTAGCTGTAGAGAAATCTGAGACCAGACTCATTTTATTTCTCTTATAGGTGACTTGTTAATTTTGCCTACTTGCCCAAAAATGCATCTTTATCTTTGAAATTCAATATGAATTCTACTATATGTTCCAGAGTTGAATGCCTAGGTCAATTTTCCCTGAATATAGCATGCCCTTTTGATATGAAAGTAGTCTTGAATTTTATTTATAAATATTTGTTCTGCTCCACTGTTTTGGTTTTCTTCTTTAATGTCTCCAATTATGTGTATGTTGGCTCTCTTTTGACTGTATTCTCTATAATTTTCTGGCTAATCCTTTTTACATCTTTATTTCTGTTCTCTTTATCTGCTCTTCTTATTTCTATGCTATATGATCCTTACCTACTCTTCCGATTCCTTGTAGATTACCCTTCATTTCTTTTTCTTTTCTTTTTTTTTTTTTTAAAGATTTTATTTATTTATTCGAAACAGAGAGAATGAGAGAGAGAGAGCACATGAGAGGGGGGAGGGTCAGAGGGAGAAGCAGACTCCCTGCCGAGCAGGGAGCCCGATGCGGGACTCGATCCAGGGACTCCAGGATCATGACCTGAGCCGAAGGCAGTCGCTTAACCAACTGAGCCACCCAGGCGCCCGATTACCCTTCATTTCTGAAAGTGGTTATATGTTTTTCTTTAATTTCATTCCTGAATTTATCAGGTCCAGTTTCACCTATTCCTTTTATTTGGCCATCTATCTCATCTGCATTCTTGAATTTATGCTTTGTAGTCTTCTTCATAGTTTCAAGCTGCATTATGCCATTTAATTCATGTTAGAATACTGGAATATAATTTTTCATTTGCTGTTGCATGAAGGAAAGTTTTGCTTTTCTTTTTCTTTTTACTGTTTTTCTATAGAGTACCTCTCTAAAGATTTGGTGTTTATTGCTTTTTAGTTTTTCATATTTAAATGAGTTTAATTTCCCTGGACCCCAGATAACAGAAGGTTCCTATACAAGGGTGATGTTCTTGCTCAAGGATCTCTTCTGTTGCTACTGAATTAAATGGCTTCTTCAAAATATGGTACTTCTGTGAAGTCATGTCTTCTCTATGAACTTCATTTGGTTTAGGGGGCTTCTATTTCATGCCTTGAGTTCTCCCCTATTACACTGTGTGGGCTTCAAAACTAGTTCTGGGTATTTCAGTTGTTTCTGGCTAAACTTATAAGGAATTGGGAGTTGTGGGTTTCTCTGGTTTCTGGTTTTACTGAATATGTGACTTATGGGGATGTTTTTCCTTAATCTTTTTGTTTGGTTCTCACTGTCACTGAAAATCATACAAAGCAACAACATGGAAAACTTCAGAACTAAGCTGCCACTACAATCTTAAAAAATCTAAAAGTCTTTAGTTTTTTTGTTGTTGTTGTTAAAATTTTAAATGGCAAAGTAACTTCTAAACATCTCTTCATGCCTCTAGCTTTCTCATGTTCTTCTCAAATTTGAATGCTAAGTGTCAAGTCTTAATGTGTCATGAATGACCCTAAGTAATTTTTGGAGTAACTTTTTTTTTTTTTTTTAAGATTTTATTTATTTATTTGAGAGAGAGAGCACAGGAGAGGGGTTAGGGTCAGAGGGAGAAGCAGACTCCCTGCCGAGCAGGGAGCCCAATGCAGGACTCGATCCAGGGACTCCAGGATCATGACCTGAGCCGAAGGCAGTCGCTTAACCAACTGAGCTACCCAGGCGCCCTGGAGTAACTTTATTTACATGAACTAGAATAGAAAATGGTGGCTTATAAAGATTGTGTTAATTGTTGATATCCTGGTTTCTTTACCCCCACTGTTCTTCTATTTAATCTAATCAGATGAAAATCAAGCATCATGTAACAGAACCTAGCTTCCAAGGAACATTCTATTTTATTAAAGCCAAGGTCACAGACAGGACAATAAACGGGTTATACTCAGGCTACCCATAAGCTATTCTTTTTTCAATCTGTAAAAATAAAGACATAAGCATCTTTTGTAAAAGAAATTTGTAACCAGTTGGAAGAAAATAAATGGCTTCCCTAATAGCGTTATTTGCTGATGACCAGCCTAACATTTTTTGAAGTTACTATTTCCCATATGAACAACAGTGAGGATGTCAGTAGGGAAGTGCAAAGCTTTGCAGAGCTCAGTTATGGAGAGCCAGCAGAAGTTCTAATTCAATCTGGGGGATACTCTGAAGACTAACGGTTTTGATTTTCCACCCACCATTCACTTGATAGGCATAAAACCCACTCCTCTTTTCCTTACCATTCTCCTATAACAACTACTTGTTAATATAAATATGTCAGCAGGATAGTTTAAAAGCAAAGAATTTAAAAAATCTCTAAAGAAACAATAAATTAAAAAAAAAGACCAGGGTTTTAATTCCTAGATAAGATATTAGGCCTAAGCTAGATTCTGTCATTATCTTAGCACCACTTACCATTTCACAAGTACTAGATAATGCTACGTTCATCAATATAGTGTCACAGATTTTTTAAAAAGTCTTTTTCTCCCCCATACTACAAAAAAAACTTCTGGATATGGGTTGAGCCAAGTAAAACTGCCTATAGAATTCAGTAGTTACTGTTTTGTGTACTGATCTATACTAAACTGATGTGGACTAAATATTCAAAGACTGGCAACAATGATAACATTGATGGGGATGATGATGAGAACTACATGTGTATTAGTATTAAAATGGCATACAAATTGCTATGTGTAGTCCTTTTGTCTATAGCACCATTATGTGATTTCTCTTGGTGCTCAGTTCAAACTTAACTTCATCTAGTGTATGTCACATTCCTATCTGCTTTTTATTGAGTTTATGATTATATAGAAAAGTAAATATATTTCACTCAAATTGGAAGAAAAGGTCTAGATTTCAAATTCTCAAACTCATTATAAAGTAATTTTAAATTTCTTCCAGGAATGTAGAATAAAAAGTTTTAAGAGTGTAAGTTGTTATTGTTGAGTTATGACCATTTATCATAAAATTAGTTTTTCCTAATATGTACTGCTCTATCTACTCTCTAAAGTTTTTATAAATTAACGCTTGTTGTTCTGAGATCTTAGTATTTTATCCTGCACCAAACGAGAAAAAAAAATATTAAAGGGTAACTTTATACCTACTAAGAGTTATTTTTATTGTCTATTCTAGGTATTTGTAGGAACTCACCAATAGACAACGCAGCATAACATGTAAAATAAACTCTAAGAATAAGAGTTACTGGGCACTAATTAATTCCACTGTATTATTTATCTGTGCACCAAACCTGATGATCAAACACCAATTTCGGCCCTCCATCAGCAGCAGTATCCTCACTAAGTAACATCCATGTGTTTGTGTCAATGTCGTAACGATAGAAGTCACTTTTCAGAGATTTGCTGTTCCTCACGGAGGAATCCAAATAACGCCCCAATGTGTAGATTTGCCTTCTTTGAATGTCAATGCACATTTTATGACATGATCTGGCACTAGGACCATTCTGTGGAGAGCAAAGAAAGAAAAAAGAAAAAAATTCAAAGAATAACAGAAAAATAAAATCACATCCTTTTTTGTTGACTTTCATTAAAAGGTTTGCAATAGAAGTCCAACACAGGGTTTAAATCTTACCACAGAAATGCTTAAAATCTATCAGGAAAGAAGAGATGAACTATTGTATACCTTATGGCACTCTGTTTAGAACACTTATATGGCTTCTATTATACACCCATTGCATTTTAGTCATTTGTGCACACAGCTTGATTCCTTAGTACCTGTCAATCTAAAGACACAATTGGTCTTTAAAATATTTCTCATTAAAATTTCTCATCAGAATCTAGCACAAAACAGATACTCCAAGAATATGTAGAATTGCTTTATTTTGTAACTGGAAGGAACCTTAATAAAATCGCTAGTTTAATTATCTCCTTTTAAACATGAGGAAACATAACCCTCTTCGAAGAGGAAAGGTGTTCTCCTGAAAGCTAGGAAACTAGTGACAGCACCAGAATAAAAATGCAAAATGTGACTTCTTTGTCTACCCTTTATATTACATAAAACTGACACTCCTGAGTGAATAAATAACACAAAAATAACACAATATGAAGAACACTATATTATCAACAAAAATTAATTATTTGAGATCACTTATATCACTGGACTGAATAAAAGGCAAAAAAAAATTGTAGTGTAGTATAAACTAAACGTAGAGTTCATGGGGAAAAAAAGAACTTCAATAGGGCAGGATCTGATTAGTTAAAATGCAGGAAAAGAAAGAGAATATTTGTTAAATATCGCCTAAGTTCTATCCATATTATTACAATGTATGCATGTGTATATTTCATTCAATCCACATAACAACTCCATAAGGAAATATTACCATTTCACAGAGTCTAAGTAATCTGTCCATAGTAACAAAACTAGGAAGTAAGCTAGAAAATCTAAACCCCAGTGTAACTAGAACAAAAAACTATGTTCTTTCCATTATTCCAGACTGGTTTTTCCACAAGATAAGAGAAACAAAAGCAAAAACAGACTTAATCCAATGTGTGTGGTTATGACTGAGATGAAGACTTCCTACTGCAGAAAGTTGAAGACTGAGGCGGAAACAGAAGCCTGGTGAATGACTGACAGAGGACACTGGATGTAATCTTGCAGGCAATAAACTATCATGGGTTTCTAGAGCAGAATATAAAAAGAGTATTCTAGCACTGTTATTTAGATTAAATGAATAAATAAAGATATTAGGCAGGAAGAATAATTTGACATTAGTGTTATCAATCCAGATGTTAAATTGATTTGTATCTGCACTTTAGTATTCATACTAATTTTAAAACTTATTTTTAAAGATTTTTGTCAAGGAAAATCTCCAGCAGATAAGATAGAAATATTATTTTTTGAAAGAATGTCATACACAATTAATCTCAAAAACAAAGATAGGATAATATATAATAAATCTATGCCATATACCCTAGAATGTGAAATTTGAAATTTTAACAGGGGAGGTAACAGAATTTCTGGCTTCAGATCGAATTAGCATAAATGCTATTAAAATGATGAGCAAATTACACCTTAAGTAAGAAGAGAAAAGGAAATAAGGAATAGGAACCAAAAGAATAGAAAAAAGACAAAAAATAGAGATAATTAACAAAGTGGATTTCCTGAAAGATTAATAGAATTATAAACCACTAGCAAGACTATTTATTTATTTATTTATTTATTTTAAAGATTTTATTTATTTGACAGAGAGAGATACAGCGAGAGAGGGAACACAAGCAAGGGGAGTGTGAGAGGAAGAAGCAGGTTTCCCGCCGAGCAGGGAGCCTGACGCGGGGCTCGATCCCAGGACCCTGGGATCATGACCTGAGCCGAAGGCAGACGCTTAACAACTGAGCCACCCAGGCGTCCCAAGACTGATTTTTTAAAAAGGAAGAGAAAACACAAATTGCTAAATATGATAAATGAAAGCAGGAACATCACTTATAGGCTCACTAGAAGTTAAAAAGAAAAAAAAAGGGCTATTGTGAAAAACAGGTAAAATCTGCAATGTAGATTCCTTGAAAAATTATAAACTTAACTAAAATTGACACAAGATAAGAGAAAAAATCTGAAGTCACTCTATTGAAAAACTGAATTTATAATTTAAAATTTTCTTCCCACAAAGAAAATGCCAGTCCTAGATACCTATACTGGTAAATTTTATCAAACACTTAAGGAAGAAATAATATTCCTAACTTATTTTATGAGGACAACAGAACACTGAAGCCAATTAACAATACTACAAAGAAGGAGGAGGAAAAATAATTTACAGGCAACCAGTAACCAGTATACCTCATGAACAGACACAAAACTGATCTTTAACAAAATATTATTAAATAAAATGCAGCAGTATATATAAAAAGGGTATTTCTTAACTAAAGGGGGTTTATCTCAGGAATGCAAAGTTAATTTTACATTTGAAAACTGATCAAGGTAATTTACCACATTAAAAGAGAGGAAAACAATATGATCTTATTTATATAGAAAAAGCATTTGATAAAATTCAACACACATTCATGAGGAAGCTTCACAGCAAACTAGGAATAGAAAGGAGCGTCCTTAATCTAGTTAAGAATGTATGAAAATCCTAAATCTAATTTTTCGCTTAATGGTGAAATACCCAATGCTTTCTTGCTAGGATCTGAAACAAGATGTCTATTCTCACTTCTTCTTCTTCTTCTTTTTTAAAATTAATTTATTTATTTGAGAAAGAGCATGCGCATGCACAAGCACAAGTGGGGGGAGGGGCAGAGGGAGAGAGATAATCTCAAGTAGACTCCCCTCTGCGTGCGGAGCCTAACTTGGGGCTCAATCTCACAACCCTGAGATCAGGTCCTAAGTTGAAATCAAGAGTAGGAAGCTTAACTGACAGAGCCACCCAGGCACCCCTATCACTTCTTCTAATTAACACTGTACTGGAAGTCTGTCAGCACAGTAAGGCATTAAAAAATAAAATAAAAGCTTATAACAGAAAAAGAGTGGAAAGGAAGAATAAAATTTTCTCTATTCACAGATGACATGACTATTTGTTGAAAACATCCTCAGAAATCAACAAAGAAACAATGAGAAATAGTATGTGAATTTAGAAAAGTGACATGATATAAAGGAAATATTAAAAACCCAACTTAGTTCTCTATATTAGCAATAAGCAAACAGAAGATAATTTTTTTAGGGTGGGGCAGAGGGAGAGAGAGAATCTTTTTTCTTTTTTACAAATTTATTTATTTATTTATTTGACAGAGAGAGAGAGAGAGAGCACAAGCAGGGAGAGCGGCAGGCAGAGGGAGAAGGAGAAGCAGACTCCCAGCTGAGCAGGGAGCCCAAAGCGGGGCTCGATCCAAGGACCCTGGGATCATGGGTTGAAAGGCCCAGCCATTTTATTTTTTTATTTTTAATTTTTTTAAAAGATTTTATTTATTTATTTGATAGAGAGAGACACAGCGAGAGAGGGAACACAAGCAGGGGGAGTGGGAGAGGGAGAAGCAGGCTTCCCACTGAGCAGGGAGCCCGACGCGGGGCTCGATCCCAGGACCCTAGGATCATGACCTGAGCCAAAGGGAGACACTTAACGACTGAGCCACCCAGGCGCCCCGAGAGAGAGAATCTTAAGCAGGCACCTTGCTTAGCATGGAGCCTGATGCAGGGCTTGATCTCACAACCCTGAGATTATGACCTGAGCTGAAATCCAAGAGTCCGACACTTAACTGAATGAGCCATCCAGGCATCCCATTTTTTTAAGTCCCACTTACAATGTATGAAAAAACAAAATATGCTACCATCAATTTAATAAAAATATCCAAGACCTTCCATCTAAAAACTCCATGAGTGCTGACAAAGAATGAAGACTGAAATAAATGGAGATTAACTACATTCATGGATTAGAAGACAATATTATTAAGACATCAATTCTCTCCAAATTGATTTATAGATTTATCACATTCCCAATCATAATCCCAACAGTTTTAGAAATTGACAGTATGATTCTAAAATTTCTAATTTTTAAAAAGAAATAATAATAATTTAATAAGAAAGAAAGAAAGAATTTTTAAAAAGAAGAAAATAGAGGTCTTACATTACCTGACCTCATGGAATGTCATACTGGTATATAAACAGACCAAAAGATAATGGAGCGGGACAGAGTATCCCAAAAGAGACATATACTTATATGATCAGTTGGTTTTTTACAAAGGTGCCAAAGCAATTCAACAGGGAAAGAAGACAGGGAGCAACAAACTCTCACATATTTCTAGCAGGAATATAAAATGGTACAATCACTCTGGAAAAAGCTATCAATGGACCCTAAAGGGTGAAAGTTTGATGAGTAATAGGGCACTTTCATAATCTCAAAATGTCTTCCCGCAAGTTACATATCAATTATAGAGGGGAAAAATCTGGAGGACACTCTCCTTAACCAAGTGATCAAAGGTAACACCAGACAAAGTGATGCAATGTGCCTCCTGATGGGATATTCTAAGGAGGAGGACCCAAAGTCATCCACATGGTATTTGTGCTAAAAATGCTCAACCTAAATCCAATCCTAAAGAAACAAGAAACAAATCCAACTGAGTGATAGTCTACAAAATAACTACTCTGTGTTCTTCAAAAATGTCAAGGTCAAGAAGGATAAGGAAAGGGTGAGAACTATTCCAGAATAAAGGAGACTAAAGACACATGACACTGAAATGCAATGCATGATCATGAGTCCTGGTCAGGGATGGGGGTTGGGAGTGACAGTGGGACATCTATAAAGGAGATTACTGAGGTATTACTGGATAAGTGTCTATATCTGGAAAGGGTCTGCGTATTAAATTAAAGCAGCAGTTCTGAGAGCAGTCTGGGGTCTCCAAGACACTTCAGGGAGTCCACAGAGTCAGTTGTTTATAACACCACTAAGAATTCGTCTTTCGTTCTTATTCTCTTACTGAGTGTACATGAAATTTTCCAGAGGCTACACGACTTCTGATGTAATAACAGATTGGATACAGAAGCAGGTATGAATCTAGCTGCCTCTATTAAGCCAAACATTAAAGAGATTTAGAAAACTTTATATAAAACAGTGCTACTTGATGTATGGTGGTTATTTCAAGGAAATGCACCTATGTGACTCAGTTACAAGCTGACCCAGCTGCTTCTTCCATGGAATACTCTATTTATGTGAAAGAAAACTAACAATCCAAGTGCAGTTATTCAGATATAACGGTTATGACAGACATTTTCTGAAAAAATGAATAGTTAGTATGTCATTTTGAAAAAAACTGACAAAATTTGTTGCCAAAGATAAAAGCAAATTTTAAAATTTGTTTTTAAGCAAAAATTAGAATTTTTAAAACTTCTACGTGCTACTGTGATCTTGACACCTTCCCAATACTTAGAAAACTTTTCTGATGACATTGATAGTAATATTAACAAATATGGGTTTTTTGATATTGTATAATAAAATTTCAACATTTGGAAGATATGCAGAACTCAGGAAACCAATAGTTTTCAAGTGACCAACACATGGGTAAAAAAACCATGCACAGGTAAAAGATATATTCAAAGAGCAAGACAGAACAATGGATTTGAATGTAACAATACAAAACATTAGTTGATATGGTTTCAGAGTCTATAATGCAATCACCTTTAAGAAAGAACCACTTGTCATTTTGGGATATGAGATCAAAATAGACCATGTGCAAATATCTGAAAAGGCTATTAAAATACTACTCTCCTTTCCAAAAATTTAACCATGTGTTGAGGTCCAATTTTCTTCATATATTTCACAGAAAACAACATGTTGCAAGAGATTAAACACAGAAGCAGATAGGAGAATCTAGCTGTCTTCCACAAAGCTTGACATTAAAGAAATTTTATAAAAATGCAAACTAAAGAAAAATACATTTGTTTCAAACCTTTATAAAAAGTTACTTGCATATCTATATGAACATTTAAAGTAATTATTCTCTTTAAGAGCTGAGCCATTCTATTATCTATCAACCTCCTAAATGTGTTATTAGATACATATTTAAGTAAATTAAAGTGAATTAAATTAATACTGCCTCTTAACTGCATATCACACTTTTGAAACACATGCCCTGGGTATCATCAAATAATACCTTGTACTCACTCACTGGTATAGAAAATAAAATGAGATATACGAAATACTAACTGTTCAATTTTGGAAGGAATGAATATTTATGCTACAGCCATATACTATTACCATTTATTTCATAGAAAAACCAACAAAAAGTTTTTAGGCATCTATGTGAAGAAAGCAATAATAAACCCATAATGAATCTGAACTCCAGTACTGAGTCACCACTGACTTCAAAATAACAGGAACAAAGTCTGAGTCTCATCAAAATAATTTCTATATTTTTCCAGTACTAGTTTAAAATAGTAATTTTTTAAAAGATTTTATTTATTCATTCATATACAAACAGAAAGAGAGAGCATGAGCAGGGGGAGAGGCAGACGGAGAGGGAGAAGTAGGCTCCCCGCTGAGCCAGGAGCCTCATGTGGGGCTCGATCCCAGGACCCTGGGATCACAACCTCAGCTGAAGGCAGATGCTTAACCATCCGAGCAACCCAGGGCCCCCCAAAATAATAATTTTTTTTAAAGATTTTATTTATTTGACAGAGAGAGACACAGCCAGAGAGGGAACACAAGCAGGGGGAGTGGGAGAGGGAGAAGCAGGCTTCCCACGGAGCAGGGAGCCCGATGCGGGGCTCGATCCCAGGACCCTAAGATCATGACCTGAGCTGAAGGCAGACGCTTAATGACTGAGCCATCCAGGCGCCCCTAAAATAATTATTAATTGCATTCCAAATATTACTTATATATAACATATGTAAATAATATAAAAATAATGACCACGTCCAGTTTCATAAGTAGAACATTAATATGACCTTTGAGTTCCCCTGTAAACTACCCTCCTCTCTTGCCAAAATAGCTACTCTCCTGATTTTGTATTTATCTTCCCATGCTTTTCTCCAGCATTAATTTTTCATTTAATTTATCTCACCCATTTGCTCACTAAAGAATAAACATATGATTCATGCTCAGAGTCTAAGTAGGGAAACAGAAATGTAAACTACTCATTTTAGTTACCTATTGAAGGAATATAAGTGGTTAAAAGTGGGCACACCAAAGGAAGCTTCTATGTAGAGAAGTCAAGAACGGTTTCCCCGAGAAAGTCTGAACTGAGTTTTAAGAATAAGCAGGTGTTTACTAAGAGCCAGGTGCATGGGAGGAGGAGCCCTCTATTAATTTCAAACAGAAAAGAACATTATTGCCAAGGGACCATCAGGTAAGAGAGCTGAATTCCAGCAACTAAAGGTGTGGCTGGCACATAAAGTCAGGAGATGAGGCAAGAAAGGTAAATGGGGACCAAATATGATGAGAAATTTGAAATTTATAATCTAAGCCAAAGGAACTAAGGTTGATAAAGTGCCTTATCATTATGATTATTGTTGTTGTTATTCACACTTTTCCTGTATCTATGCCCTTTGATAGTGCCCCTCACCATATAGTGACTCTAGCTTTGGCCATATGACTTCTTTTGGCCTATGGGACAATAACAAATTTAGTGGCGTGCTCATGTCTACCTTTACTCCTTGCAGCCCTGCCCCTGACATGCCCCAAGCCCCAGCTAGCCAACAGGAAGGTGAGCAACTATGTAGAACAGAGCCAAGTAGCCCCCACTTGAAGCTATGCTACACTAGCTGACAGCCAGCTGACTCCAGGACACATGAATGAGTCCAGCCAACACCAAAAGAATGACGCAGCCTATCTGTAGACTCGTCAACAAAATAAACACCTACTGCTATATGCCACTGAGGTTTGGTGGGCGCTTGGAATAGATGGAATGTAAGACATAAGTGAAACAGGGACTGAAGCTAACCATAGGGGTTAAGCAAGTGTCACATGGCCAAATATGCTTTTTAATGAATGGAAAATAGACAACAGATTAACAGTGGAGGCAAAAGTTTAAGAAAGAAACCATAGTGTTGCAATTAGTGCCGAAAGGAGTAGAGCAGAAAAGCATCTGAAATGCTGGATTTCAGCATTGGGTGCTAGAAATGTTGGAACTTACGCACTAATTAGACACATTCAATGAAGAAGGAGGATTTCAGGATGAATCCTAGACTTACTGCAAGAATAATTACAGATGCAATCAACTTAGATTTATAATAGTTTAAAAGAAATAAGTTAGGAATTTTTTTAGATCTCTATTTTTGTTGAAGATACAAATAATCACTTCAGAAAATGGTACTTTAACACTGAAAGACAAAGGCCATTTTTTACATATTTTCACAGAGATAACAAATAGAAATCAGAATTTAAGATATCTTTGAAAAGATAAAAACTACCCAAATTAATCACTGGAACACGCTAAGCAGAATCCAATTTCCTAGAATTAAAGACAGAGCACTGATCTTCTGAAATGGCCATTCTAGATTAAAAGCAGTGCGTTTTGAATTAGGTCTTTTCCCCCACTTTTCATTTTCAGGTCCCATCGTTTTGTTAAAGTTTATTTTTCACCTCGTAATCTGAAACAGCTTAGATGAAGGGTACAATAAAAAATTCTATAAAGATCTCGAAAAAATAAATCAGTTAACATTTGCTTTATACTAGTGTATAATTATGCACTTACGTAATTCAAAGTCATAAATCCAAGCCATCTTATTCACTAAGGAAATGCTTTATGTATATATGTATCAACAGACACACACGTGAATACAATTTTAGTCAAAAATAAAATATATATCATTTGTGACAACTGATACATAGTCAAATAGTGAGGGACCAAAATAGTGAAAAGGTAAGGACAATAAAAGCACATTTTTCCAGAGGAAATCAAAATAAGATGAATGCTCAGAACAAGAGTAGAGGTGACAGAAACATGAGAAAAAAGATTATTACACACTTACATTTCCAGACTAAAGAAGTTAAAAACTACTATTATATTTGATACCCATTTCTATTTAGCTCTATGAAATAGATTTGTTCATGTAACAGTAGTTGAAGAACCAGGTATAGAAGCTAGAATGCAAGAATACTTAAACCAAACTTGTTTACTACAAAGACTTCTGCTACTACTGTGGGTATAGAAAAGAATACAAATCATCCAGAAAAAGAAGGGTACACCCACACCCTTATTGTAATACAGATGGATGAAAAGTCTGAGAACTTGCCTCTTTCTCAGTGTCTCTAGAGATACATGTCCACTGGTTCTCCTTCACACTGTACGCCCAGAAGTCAGCAAGATCTTGTGTTCCATCCCAGCCACCAAACAAATAAACGGTCTCTATGAAAATTAGAAAAATATGTATAAAAAAACCCTTAAGGATAAAATTTAAATATAGGCACCTAGACGTAGCCATAGTTTTTAAGATCACTTATAAAGGCACTTCTAAATAAACTTAAAAATGAAATTTGTCAATGGGTAACATTTCAAAATATATACTAGGCTAGTATCTCCTAAACGTGGGTATATGGAAAGGCTGCTGCAGGACCACCTATTTTGAAAGATTGGTAAAAAATACAAATAACTAAGAGACATTCCCCGAGATTCTTTCATAGGTCTTCAGTGGTTAAGAAGAGTCTGTATTTTTTTCAAGTATGCAGAGTGAATCTCATGTACTGCCAGTTCAGGAGTTTCTGTGCTAGGCCACAAAAAGTTTACATTTAGCAGCTTCTTAGCAATGCAGCGTCAGATTGTTAAAAAGAAAAGAAAGAAATCGCAAAGGAACATATGGTCTAAAATAGAACATAAAGACATCTAGCTATTTCTGAAAAAAAACTTCACATTAAAACTGTTTTCCCTCTAGTGCAATATCAAAAACAATGGTTAAAACTAGCTCTGAGTTAAAGCTAGACACCTCAAGAATAAGGTGATGTACAGCCTTGGCATTCCCATGGAAACTAGGGAAATCTTTTCCAAATATACTATGGTAGGCTTAACTCCTTAGAAGTCAACCTTTAAGTCATTCCAGGTATCTTGAAAATTCGGTTTCTTCTAACTCTGAAATGTCTATTATATCCATGGGCTGTTTCACTGCAACAAAACTGATTTCTTGCCCCGTGAATAGTGACAATCTTTATACATAACACTGTTATCATCCACCTCCTTCTTTATAATAGTGTCTCTCCTTTCTTCAAATATTTCCCCCCTTTTAAATGTCTTATATCTACTGCTTACACAAGCCCCCCAATTATTTAAAAAGTTACATTTTCTTTTCTTTCCTTTTTTTTTTTTAAGATTTTATTTATTTATTTGAGACAGAGAACGAGACAGAGCACAAGTTGGGGGCGGGGGGAGCAGAGGGAGAGGGAGAAGCAGACTTCCCGCTGAGCAGGGGGCCCGCTGTAGGACTTGATCCCAGGACCCTGGCCAGGATCATGACCTGAGCCAAAGGCAGACACTTAACTGACTGAGCCATCCAGGTACCCCTCTTTCTTTCTTTTTTTTTTTAAGTAAGCTCTATACCCAACATGGGACTTGAAGTCATGACTGCAAAATCAAGAGTCACATGCTCTACTGACTGAATCAGCCAGGTGCCTCTTTTTTTTTAAAAAAAGTTAAGACATACAGGAACATTGTAAAGCTATCTACTCCCTAATTGACATGACCTAGGCCTATTTATGTGGAGACTGTCATCTAAGTTAGGTCCCACCATGAACAGTTACAATTCAAAGTGCATTTAGAAATACTGTAACATCATTAAGAAAATTCTTGACATTCATAGAGTTGGACTGTCTTCTAAGAGATTTTTATCATATTTTCATATAATTTCAAATGCTAAGTGAATTTTCTAAGTAAAATGTCCCATTCTATGCCCCAGAAGCTACAGAAATCAAAACAATGCTTCTGGGTAAGAACATACCATTGCAACAGGATTGAGTTCTAGTGCTAACTGGGCAATCAAATCAAATATGGGCCACATAACCTCCCTGGGTCTTAGTTTTTTCACTTACAAAACTCTCAGTGTTGTGGTGTAGTTCTTCAGATGTAAGTTACCTGAAAACATTCTGAAGGCTATCAAGCACAAACAGCATTTCTACCTTTAAAACATGCACAAAAATAAAAAATACTCTGTAGTTACTAAGTGCCACAGATGCAATAAAAACAGCATTACTGTATCCAATTCCATGACTAACTCAGTACCTAGAACTTCCTAGCTCTGTACAAATGTGAAATAATGGCAATTATTTGAAACTTAAAAAACTATCATATCTCAGAACTATAAAACAATCCATTATCATTAGTTAAGTAACATTCTGTTTCCCAAATGGCATGCAGCAATACCAGATACTTCAAGTTTTACAGGAAAAAAAAAAAGAATTTTCATCTGCTTAAAAATTATTTGCCAAGGCCTCACTGTAAAGGCAATTAACCCTGTTAAATTCTGAAGCCAGGAGAGGGAGGGGGGTGTATAACTAAAATAGCAATAGCAATTGACCTTTTGTTTTATAGTGTTTCTGGGTACCCTCTGGATAAGGTTACCCTGGTTCATTAACTTTAATAACCCTTCCTCTTGGGCTCTGGGTTCTCAATGTTCTTTCTGAAAAGCAGGTCTCTTTGTACGCATAAATTCTCACAGCAAAGAAAACCCACATTTCCACAACAGCCTCATTGATAGCTGAGCAAAATAAAATCTGGCAGAGAGCAAGCATCCCAATGGAATTAATCCAAGATGTCATTCTTGTCTGTGAATGCTTTGTAGTCCTAGCTGAAGTTTAATAGTAAAATTGAATGAATCAGATGGAAACAGGACCTTTTGACATACCTGAATAAAATGCATGACAAAATTTAATTATATCATCTAATCATTTAAGTTAGATCATCCAGAGATGAAATATTATCTAGAAACAAACATGAGCAAAAGTATTATTTAATGCGTAAAGGGTATCGAAAACTTTTAAAGATTACAGAAATAATTGGAGAGAACTATAGTAAGAAGTAAGGAAACAGAAAAAAGAAAACATTATTTGCAACAGGGTCCAGTCTCATGCTTACCGTTATGTAACAATTCATGTAACAATTCACGTACATCCCTGGGCAGTACAGTCTTCCTCAAGCAGCAGCCCATTCTCTATATTTTTTTCTTAAAGGCACATAGGCTATTGTGGCTATCCATTTCTCCCGGCACTCAGAGGAATGTACAGTCAATGTTTTCCCAGGGCTAGTCTGAATTGATAAGGTATTTTACAGAAAAGAAAGAAGACAGTCCCTATCCTCAAGGAGCTTACAATCTAATCAAGAATATAACACAAGTACATAAATCACCATATGCAGGGCAGACTAAATGCCTTAAGAAAGATAAAAAGTACCAATCGATTTAAAAAGAGGGAAGAGAGTATACCTGAGGGGACTCAAGAAAGGTATTTGACCTATGCATCAGAACGTGGCTCTGGGGGCACCTGGATGGTTCAGTCAGTTAAGCATCAGAATCCTGATTTCGGCTCAGGTCATGACCTCAGGGTCGTGAGATGGAGCCCCGTATAGGGCTCCGTGCTCAGCAGGGAGTCTGCTTGAGATTCTCTCCCTCTCCCTCTCGCCTACTGACATGCATGCTCTTTTTCTCTCTAAATAAATAAATCTTAAAAAAAAAAAAAAAAAAAAGAAGGTGCCTCTGTTGGCAGAATGGGAGACAGAGTAGAACGTTTCAAGCACAGTAAAAAGTATAACAAAGGCACAGAGACAGAAAAACACATGAGAAATGTTTTATTTTTAAAATTTTTTTAAAAAGATTTTATTTATTTATTTGAGAGAGAGTGAGCGTCAGGGAGAGAGAACAGGAGCAGAGGGGCAGAGGGAGGGGAGAAGCAGTCTTCTCGCTGAGCAGGGAGCCTTACGTGGGGCTCCATCCCAGGACCCTGGAATCATGACCTGAGCTAAAGGCAGACACTTAACTGACTGAGCCATCCAGGCGCCCCACATGAGAAATGTTTTAAAACATATGGACTCTAAAGTCAGGTGGATCTCGATAGAACGGTAGTTCTACCACCACAGCTGGGTTTCTTAACCACTGGTTTCCTCAAGTCCAAAATGGCACACCACAGCACCTAGCTCATAAAGCTACTATGAGTATTAAATTACATAATGCATGCAAAGTGGTTAAAAATGTGTGATGAGTAAATGCACTGTTCAGTTTAAAAGAACACAAAAAGTACCAAGTGGAGATGATGTTAAAAAGACAGGTAGTGGCCAGATCGTGGAAGGGGTTAAATGACAATATAAAGGCTTTGAACGCAACTCCACAGACCATGGAGGAGCTTCAGAAGATCCCAAGCAGAGATGTAACAAGGGCAGCTCTGAACTTGCAGCATTATAGGACTTGACTGAGAAGGAGAAGCCAGAAAAAGAGAGGGATTGGAAATAAAGTGACCAATATAGCCTATGTTCAAAATATCAAACCAATTTCATTCTGAGACTGAATGAATCAATCATCAGTCAGTGAGTCAATCTGTCATTTCTGAGGCCACAAAAACAAATTCAACCATATTCTTTAGCACAAGTCTTTTTGGTACCAGTACTAAATAAACCCTCCAGTGACTTACTACCGGCAATACTAATATACACATCTTAAATATACTAAAAATAAGGTAGAAATATTAACACATCAGTGTCTTTTCACCATTCAGCACAAAGAAGCAGGCTTTTTATTTTATGAGCCCAAATGCAAGATCTATCCTTCTATTCATTCTTAGGGGTAAATCAGACTGTGCTGACTGAATAATCCTCCACAAGATGGCACACTATTTTCATAATTAAATCCATGTTTCCACTTTGAAACAGTACAGAATACAAACCCTATACACTCACATAGCATGGGCCCAACATTAAACAAAATTTATGTGTCAAAAAGAAGAGGTAGGAGAAGAGTTAACAGAATAGTAAAGGAAGTTAACTTAATTCTTAGCTTAATATATAGATACCTTGAGAAAAACAAATGAAATGGAACAAAAGTTTTAAGAAACATAAATTTATATTTAAGATAAAAATGAAACCCTGTCAGAACATTTAATTCAAGAGTTTAATCAACAGAATTTTGAAGAGAGGAGTGAATTAGAAGGAGAAATCTATTTCACGTGTTCTTTAACCTTACCTTCTTTAGCCATTCCCCTGAACTCCTATGACCCAGCAGATTATCAACTGGATTCATCTGCCTCCCTTTTTAAATAGTACTATATTCTTACATAAAGCTATGATTACAAATCTAGAGACTGATCCTTTGGTTGAATTCAATATATATTTCCTGTATATATATTTCAATATACTTTGTATTCTTACCAGAATTCCTTTCTGGTAACTATATGAAAGAAAAAAGATTCATGTCATTGAAAGCTAAAGAAATCAGCCAAGTGAATAAGTTTGTAAATAACAACTAAAACCCACATTCACCTATTCCTTCAAAAATTTCTTTAAGGAATCTAAGGAAAACCTATATATGGCACTGTGGAAAAAAAAGAAAGGAAGAAAGAGGCAAGCAAGCAAGCACTTTCATATAATTAGTACAGAACAAAGGTTCAGATTTCCATAGAAGGGCTCTACCAAGTGACAAGCATTTCATTTCTTTTGTAGTTACCAAATTCTGGGATTTTTGCCTGAGTCTTACTACCTATCCTGAGAGATGAAAAAAGGCTGGCACTATAGGTTCTCAAATTCAACGAGAATTACCCAACAAAGAACTGTCTGGTACAATGAACATTTAAATTTTCATCTGAACAAACTGCCACACTGAAACAGAATAGATACACCTTATCTCTCTTTCTATTTGCCTTATTTTACCCAGAGTTGAAGAACCAAACTGGAGTTGCCAGATACAGGGATAATAGTCAATAAAACTGACATACACATTCACTAGGACAAAATACTATATTTCTTCTCTACCATGGTATAAATGATAGAATTCACTTAGGATGACAGAAAGCTCTGAAATTAAATAGTAAAATGTATGCTATCAGGTACTTTTCTAAATTGTTACTCTACCCTTAGAGCTATAGCAAAACGTTTTTTAAAAAAAAGTGAAAAAAAATTTAGGAACCATTATATTTTTAAGAAAACAAGATACATGAAACACTGGGAAGCAATAATTGCTTGAAATACAAGCCACTTTAAAGATGAAAAGAACTCTATGAAGTTTTATACTAGTGAAGGTCTTCTTTTTAAGAGTCCTTTTGATGATCTGATTCTCTTCCTAGAAAAATGTACATACGAACAAAATTTTGTATATAACTTCACCAGATTAAGAGCCCTTGCTCCAGAAATCCTTAAAATGAATACTTAAAATAATGACTGGGTCTCTTTACTACGTTCCACTACTCTGGCATCAACCTTATTAAGATAAAACTTCTAGGTTCTTCAAACTCCACTCGGGAACTAACTCTACCTAATCCTTATCAGCAAAATTCTTAATTTTTTTTTTCTCTAAAAATCTTAGAAGTATATTTATGGTTTCCCTTCCTCTCTAAAATATCAGTCAGGACAACACAGATAAAAGATGAAGCAAATATACTGAAATAACATTGGTTACTTAAAATGTGGGATTATGGGTGAGTTATTTTTTCCCCTCAAGACTGTTTTTCAAGTTGTTTTAAATTATTTTTCAAAAGTTTTAAAATTGTTTTAAAATATTTCCACTGTGTGATTCTGTCAAAAACTCAAACCAAAGATTAAAAAGGTCTCTAGACTTACATAAAATTCTCTCATTAAAACCAATCAATATATACTGTATATAATGTTGCACATAAAAAGACATTATATAAATAATATATACATTATATATAAAATACATTATTTCATTTAACTCTCCCAATAACTTATTATTCCCATTTTTATCATCATTATAACTCATTCATGATCAAATAAAAAGTCAGTGGTAAAGTCAGGATTCAAACCCAGGTATGTCTAACACACTGCCTTCTCACAAACTGAACCCTCAACCATTGTATTTGGTTGCTATGGCAGTAAGACCAGACTAGAAAAAGTTCTTTCAAAGATTAACAATAAATATAATCTCTTTGAAGATGATTAAGATCAGTCTCATGGTATCAGTTATAAGAGGGCTCTGGTACAGACATGATAAAATGAAGTATATGAAAATACCTTGGTAACTGATACTATTAATAGTTTTATAATAGAAATAGAAGGATTTCTAAAGAGCAAATCCAAAGATACCCCAAATTCTGCTCTGTACCTAAATTAAATTCAGAAAGCATCAAACGTTGCCTGAAGGAATGCAAAGCTCTATATAACATTTAATTTTTCTACCTAGATCCCAAGGTAATGGTAACTACAGCCTTAAAGAAGCATAGTCTATATACTAGAAAAGAATAAGCAGAATCATGAGAAAATTTAAATATATTAGAATATAACCAACAACATGGGTGCCTAGGTGGCTTAGTCAGTTAAGCATCTGCCTTTGGCCCAGGTCATGATCTTAGGGTCCTGGCATCGAGCCCCGTGTTGGGCTCCCTACTCAAAGGGGAGTCTGCTTCTCCCTCTGCCCCTCCCCCCTGCTTGTGCTCACTGTCTCTCTCTCAAATAAATAAAATCTTAAAAAAAAAAAAAGAACGCATATGTATATTTATTGGATTCTCAGAAGAAAGGATGCCTAAGACTCTACAGCTGAGTCAAACCTGTATCTGTGGGAGGGAAAGGATTTGGGGAGATAGACCAACATTAGGGGAGCAAGTTCAGATGCCCTGAAATGAAGCTCTTCCATACAGAAACTAGTAATACTCCTAAACCAGCTCACAGGTTACTATACAAATTTAGCAGTTAATTTTAAGAGAGATATTATAACCTCTCTTCTTGTTACTTACAAAACATTTGTGAAAATACATTAATGCCTAGAAGATAATTATCTAACTGCAATAATTTTTATTCTTAATTATTTTACGATGTGAGTCAACAAAAATTACTTCTGAGGCACTATGAATCAGCATAACACAGTAACAGAACTGAAAAAGTAAAAGTAAAATATTACTTGAATGGATATTGGCACTCCCTGAAGTAAAGATTTCTAAAACCAAATAATAAAGTAAAATCATACTGAATTCTTGGTATTTGCTTTTCCAGATGGTAATTTAAAACCTATTATAATTTTAGCATTAACCTCTAAATACAATGGTATCTAAGTTGTCCCAGGCTGTAGAAACCTAAGGAAAATTTTCAGTATCAAGTTATAGAATAAAGTCTAAAAGGCAGCAAAAAAGAATAGCTAAAACAAATTATTTATAGGCTTGTGAAGAGTGTTAAGCAATTAGTGATCTATCAACACTTAAGCTACTTAATTTGATATTCTCTTTCTCAAAAAATATCTTCATTCTCTTGCAATAATCCCCATATTATAGCATTAAAATATAAGTGCACTGAAAACCCAGAAATACTCCACAGTTTATTACAAAAACCAAACGTATATAAAACCAAACACACTCACAGCTAGAAAGGGCAGCACATTTCTTTTAGGTTACCTTATTTCAATTGTGCAGCAGCCTCCCTTCCCTCATGTATTACTACCTCCTTTATGTTAAACCTGTGGCTAAGGTCTTATTTTCTTTGCTACTTGGTTATTACAGGTGGTATTTCACCTCTGCAATGAATGGAGGAAGTATCTTTGTGCTTACCTGATATTTTAGAATATATGACTTTTAAAAGAATTTGCTTTCCACTGCAAATATTCCTCACCTGTTTGAACATCAATAACCATCTGGTGGCCCCCTCTCATTCCTGGTCGGTTATCTTCTCCATCACCTGAAGAAGAAACAAATATGTTCTTTAAAAAGAATAACAAAGGGGCGGCTGGGTGGCTCAGTCGTTAAGCGCCTGCCTTCGGCTCAGGTCATAATATCAGGGTCCTGGGATCAAGTCCCACATTGGGCTGCCTGCTCGGCGGGAGGCCTGCTTCTCCCTTTCCCACTCCCCGCTTGTGTTCCTGCTCTTGCTATCTCTCTCTCTGTCAAATAAATAAATAAAATCTTTAAAAAAAAATAAAAATAAAAACAATAACACAGAATAACTGGAAATCCAGAGTAACTGCATTCATAAGTCTGCAATGAGTACAATTAAAACACATTTATTCTTTCAGAGGCGCCTGGGTGGCTCAGTCATTAAGCATCTGCCTTCGGCTCAGGTCATGATCCCAGGGTCCTGGGATCGAGCCCCGCATCGGGCTCCCTGCTCAGTGGGGAGCCTGCTTCTCCTTCTCCCACTCCCCCTGCTTGTGCCCTCTCTCTGTCAAATAAATAAAATTTAAAACAAAAACAAAAACAAAAAACATTTATTCTTTCAATATTAAGAACAAGTAAAAAGACTCAAAAGAAATAATATAATTATGTTTATAATAATTACCCTGCTCTTTTTTCCAAAGCTTTCAGGCTATTAATGTAACAGGAAACTATTTTCAATGTATTTATGACCAGTGCCATAAATCTGCAAGGATCAGGATATTCCATAAAAACATAAGATAAAAAATTCTAAACTACTGGTGTGACAAAGTGAAGGGGGAAAACAGTTACAGAATTAGATCTCAGGTCTCTAGTCCAAGCATACCTAATTAGTATAATGAGCAGTTTTAAAGTTCATACAACTAAGCTACTGAAAACCAACATGTTATTAAGTTTTGTATTAATTTATATTACCACATAACTTGAGTACTGACCGAGAAGTGTAAGATTTACTTCCCTTTGATTCCTATTTTCATCGTGGAGCTTAACAGGCAGTTTGAAATATAATCAGGGAAACTTTTTTTTTTTTTTAAGATTTTATTTATTTATTTGACACAGAGAGAGAGACAGCTAGAGAGGGAACACAAGCAGGGGGAGTGGGAGAGGGAGAAGCAGGCTCCCGGCTGAGCAGGGAGCCCGATGCGGGGCTAGATCCCAGGACCCTGGGATCATGACCTAAGCCGAAGGCAGACGCCTGAAGACTGAGCCACCCAGGTGCCCCTAATCAGGGAAACTTTTAAACTTCTGTAGAACTATTGTTCAACTTGTATTAAATCTTACTTTATACCAAATCTTATATAAACAAAGATATAACTTCATTTCAATGGTTCAACAGGTTGCAGGATTCTAATGCCTGTCTTGATATAAACCAGAAAACCTTTTTCTTTATAACTCCCCTATTAACTGAAATATATTACTTTAGCTAATAATTTTCCATGTCTCAGCTTTCTCCTATATGAAACAGGGACCATCCAAGTTTTTACTAACTTCACTGGGGTACCGTGAAAAATACTGAAATGTCAGTTCTTAAATAGAGAAGATACCACGCCAAACTGAAGCATCATTCCATTTCTACCGTATTCAAGGACTTTTCATTCAGAAGTCCTCCGCAAATTCTTTCTCCTTTCCAATATAGTTATGTTAAGATTTCATGGCTCGTTATCACTGAAGTTTTATCTTTTTCTTCCTTCTTCCCCCCAATCAGTATTGCCACTTCCAAGAACAGAATAAGACACTAAAATAAATTTATTGTCAATGTTTGCATTTTATATATTTAACCTATTAGTTTTCAAATACACTATTACAATCTGCTACAACATGTGTTTCTCTGACAAAAATTACCTCAAAAATGACTGATAAAGCAGGAGAAATGATGTCTGAATAACAGAAATTATGGAGGTTTGTAAGCAATTTTCTCCAGCATATTAATGTTTAACACTATCAGGGGAGAGCTTCCTCCCAATTAAAGAGAAGTGCTTAGTAATTTATGAAGACTGTCAGAAAAAAGCTAAACATCCACAGAACTGCCTTCCTTTAATGCAAGTAATTGCACTAAACAATTGCTACACTTTCCACTGTATTAACCATCTGGCAAAGCAGCAAGTCAAGATCAAGAAGTGACAAATACTTTCCCCTGTATGAAAAAATGGATTAATGGAGAAGACTATGCTCTGGATCAGATTTTAAGTTTTGATAAATACCCTCTAAGGTCGACAGCTGAAAGAAGGAAGCATGAGTCCCAGGGTTTAAGCCTCCAATCTCACTGTGATGCTCAATATAAATGCCTGTAAGGAGTTAACTGTACCAGTATTTATTTTTATCAGAGTTACCACGCTAGTTTTCATTCGTATCTGCTTCAGAGTTCCATAGATTTAGAATGGCATGCCCCATTTCTACTTCCCTCATAAGCCCTGTTCACTTTAGTGAGCAATTCTGCAAAACTGAGGATTTATTAGGAACACATTCGGCATGACAACACTAAGCCTATAATTTTACAGCACCTCTATAAATGCAGTTTATGAGGGGATTTTGTGTTAAAACTGCCCAATCTTCTGTTGTAGTGATAAAACAAAAAGGTTTAAAAGAAAAGTTTAATATAGTAAACTAACTCTGCTATCTAGTTAAGGAACCTATGTCTTATGTTAAACACTTGATTTCCCACACAAAGTACTGTAAAACTTGAGCTGCCCTGGGAAAAATGAAACTGAGACATTAAAGCAAAACCACCCACAACCCAGAAAATACGGCTTACCTTTGGTGCTTTTGGGAATGATTTGACTCCATCGTGGCTTATATTCCTGTTGACTGATGTACTGATTGAACAAACCATCTGCAAATATCAAAGAATGAGAGAGAATTATTTATACCTTAACTGGCTTACACTTTTTATTATAGCAAAAAAACGAAAAAGCCTACATTAAGGGAAATTATTAATACGTCACTAATATACTAATAAAAGCACATTCTCAGAAAGTGTCACTTCAGTTTTCACGCTACCTCAAATACAAATAGTAAAGTATTCGTTGACACAACCATGTAAACAAATTGTGTCAGTGGCAGCTCACACTAAATTTACTATGTTTTCCCCATTTTTGTCATGACGAATACAAGAAAACTAGGGAAGAAAATGAGTGCCACGACAACTTTGGTCTAGGCCCTTTTATCTTTAGGAAAAACAAAACTAAGTGTTTAAAGTGAAAATTCCATTTTTACATAATTTTCTTTGAGTACAAAACCACAGAGATAAAATTAGTGATACCAGTACAGTTACATATTTACTGAATACTCACGAAATGTTAAAATTCATTTCGTCTTACTTAAGACGGACTAAACACGACTTAGTTAAAAAAACAACTTTATGAACTAGGCATTATCATCTCTGTTTTACAGATGGGGAAATGTGTGTTTAGAGATATTAAGGAACTTAACCCAAATCATGCAGCTCTTAAGTGGTAGGCAGGGTCTTGTGTTTCACTCTGCCTTACTTCTGAACTTATTTCATCAATAAATTTGTAATTTACTTCTTAAGAGCAGTTGTTAACACCAGCTGCCATAGATTGAACTCCCCATATATATCTATTTCAGCCCAAATAATTATCAAGCCCTAATCCCATGTCCCTCAACAAAGATTAATTTAAGAATGGTGTGGACTCCAATTCTGGCTAATGTAGCCAATGTTTCCTTTGCTTATAAATAAACATACCAAGAAGACAAATCTACTTTTATTCTTCTGGAAATTTTCCTATCTGTATGCAATGTACATAACTGCTACAGCCAATCTGTACAGGTATGAGAATGAAGTCAATTCAAAAATGACGACACAGCAGATACAGGAAAAGAAACTGGATCACTGAACTGACCAACCATGAAATCTACCTCTGGACTTGTTTTGTCATATAATAACATATTCTTACTTTTTAAACAAGGGTTTTCTTTTACATGAATCCATGTAGATTATAATTTATAAAGACAACTTTACTATAAATTCTATCATTTGACTCTGATCTCAATCTGAAAAAAGGTTTTCCCTTTTTCTTCATTTAGTCCCTGAACATAAATACTTTTCCAAAGAATTTATAAGTAAAACTGTCTGTTCTCTGTGACTTACACACTTGCCACAGACTGGGTAACGTACAGACATCTCCCTAATTTCTTTCTTTTCTGGGTAATTATGAAGCTCAACTGCAACCACACCCTTTAGCTTTCAAGTCTTTTCAGATGGCTTTTTTTTTTTTTTAAAGATTTTATTTCTTTATTTGAGAGAGAATGAGAGAGAGCACATGAGAGGGGGGAGGGTCAGAGGGAGAAGCAGACCCCCTGCCGAGCAGGGAGCCCGATGCGGGACTCGATCCAGGGACTCCAGGATCATGACCTGAGCCGAAGGCAGTCGCTTAACCAACTGAGCCACCCAGGCGCCCGGCTTTTTTTTTTTTTTAAAGATTTTATTTATTTATTCATTTGACAGAGAGAGACACAGTGAGAGAAGGAAAACAAGCAGGGGGAGGGGGGGAGGGAAAAAGCAGGCTTCCCGCTGAGCAGGGAGCCCGATGTGGGACTCAATCCCAGGACCCTGGGATCATGACCTGAGCCGAAGGCAGACGCTTAACGACTGAGCCACCCAGGCGCTCCTTTTCAGATGGCTTTAACTAAAAACTTCCATCCCATATACGCCTCTAGTTGCTTTTTTTCTTTGCCTTTAGGACTTCAAAGTTTTTGCAAAAAGAAAGTTCTAATATTCTTTACTTCTGAAGTTAGCACTCTGACATTAGCATTTATATTTTAATTGTTATAGTAAGGGGAACAAGTAGATTCATGAGTTGTTTTATTTTTTTTTTAAAGATTTTATTTATTTATTGGAGAGTGAGAGAGAGAGAGCGCATGAGCGGGGGGGGGAAGGGGTAAAGGCAGAAGGAGAAGCAGGCTCCCTGCTGAGCAGAGTGCCTAACGCGGGATTCGCGGAAATCGATCCCAGGACCCTGAGATCATGATCTGAGCCGAAGGCAGACGCTTAACCAACTGAGCCATCCAGGCACCCGATTCATGACTTATTTTAGTGAGAGTGTTTCTATCATAATCTACTCCCCTGTGGGCTTTTCTGGTAATTCTTGCCCATCCACCCTACTCTGACCAACACTCTCCCATTACAAGAACTGGAAAACTCTTTTTCAGATAAAATTAACAGGGGCTCCTATTAATAATGATAAGATGATAGTAAAATATGTATCATTAATTTAGAGTTCTATAGACATAAAACAGAGTAACTAAATTTTATTCAGTTTTGAGAAAGACACATAAAAGTTAAATAATCCTTTTTAAAAAACTTAAACAGAAGACAATTATTTGATAAAGACAATGATTTTAAAATATGCATTAATTCTACATAATGGCTAACTGAAGAGAAATAAAAAAGTAAAAGACAGGAATATACAGAGACAAGTAGAAAACTAAGAAAGACAAGGAAACTGCAGACATGAAAAATACAAAGCAAAAATAGAACTAGAAAATTTCACTTTTTAACAGTAACCAATTGCCAGATTACATAAGTCTCTTATACTAATTATAATTAGTTATACAACTTTGATAAGTAAGTTCTTTATCTGTAAAACTCGTTTTTAAGAGTTGGATAGAGCCAGAGGTTCCTTCCAAGTTCTGGCACACTAAGATTCCACTACTGTTATAACCAATATATTTACTGGAACTATGTGTGTCTGGCTGATTTTACCTTATGTTCATCTTAGGGAAGTCGTCTTCTCCTCTTTCCCCTTAAGCGTTAACTGCACTATTTGGAAAGGGAACTCATAATCCACCGGGGAAAATTCTTTTAAGAGCTGCTATGGCAGTGATCACATCAAGAGTTCTACTCAAATGAAGGATCCCATCCCTGATCTTTCAAGTCCTTCTGAACATTGCAAGCAAAATTAAATTCTCTAATTTTTCTTCAACCAATCCTTCTACCCCCACTCTTACTAACCTAAAAAGCTTACAAATACTCTACCCATCAAGACCTTCATGTTGTTTTTCTTTTATCAAACACAACTGTCCTATGAAAATATTGTTAGTAATTTTCAAAGCAAAAAGAACTCCCCAACATTATATAATTTCTGTAAAATAATTTGTAAATACACACAGAGACACACAGGTGGAAAAAAGTAAAACACTGTCATGCATCAAAAAGTTATGTGATTTTCTTTGGTTTCTAGGATTAGGATGATTTTTTTATTGAGGGTTTTTTTCTTTGTACTTTCCTGTTTTCCCAATTTTTTTGCATTGAGTACTACAATTACCAGAAGCCATAAAACCACTAATATATGGAATTATTTTCTAAACCTCAAAAGAACTTTGTAACATAGTTATTGTAACATATTGTGACATAAGCCATTTTCATAGCCTTTGTTAGTCCTGAAATGTCTATTCTTCACAACTCACTAGACACATCCACATTTCGACAATCAGTGCTTTATACATTAACATTACCTTGTTTATAACAAGACAAAGAGAGCCAAATACGTCCAAAGTTTATTTACAGGCTTGCAAAGGATATTACTTGCAACATTTAAAATATTAACTACTCCAAATTTAAAATATTAGAAATTATGATGGTCTTATTCTAGGTAGATAAAATTAATCTTCTCCTGAAAAATAGACAGCTAATAGCACAACATCAGATATGCTCAGTATATAATAAAAGCTTAGAATAGGAAAAAAGGGCAGGGAATAGGGGGACTTTCCTAGCCACATGATTGACATTTCCTCTGAGTCATCTTAATGTTAGTATCTTACATTTAAAAAAAATTGCACATAAAACTTCTACTTTCAATAAAGCACATTCCTAGTATATAATGGCAACCTAACAAGGCACACCATTTTGCACAGAGTAGTCAAGCAAACATTTAAAAAAAATTATTTGGGGAACTTTTAAATTTGTCTCCCTCTTTCCCTAATGAATTCCTTTTGTCTTCACTATTCTAAAAGACAACAATTCTCTTTGATGTCTCCTAATCTTCTGTGGAGACTCTTATGAAACACAAAAATTATTTAGATACAGCATCAAATCTGGAAATAATTTTTCAAAAAAGATCTTACCAAAGAAAAAAGAATTGACTTATTGAGTACCAACTGTGAGCAAGACACCACTAAGGTTAAACTAATTTACTCCTTAAAAAAACCCTACACTATGAGGATTATTAATTATTGCAAAGCTTAAAAAATTAAGGTTTAGAGAAGTTAAATAACGTGTCCCAGGACTCCCAACAAAAAGGTATAAAGCCCAATTTCAAAGTCCAAAATCTTTTAAATTCTCTGGACTAAATATAAAGATGGATATATATATATATATATATAATGGACTAACATACATATAATAGACTATTTTTTTATTACAATCTAAGATAAAATACTATAACAGACACAGCAAAATTTACCTATTCAACAACACATGAAAATAACCAAGACTTTGGAGAAAAAAACTTGCCATACCAGATCATTCTACTACATATTAAACAAATCCAATATTAAAAGAATAAAATGAAAAGAGTTGAAAAAATTATGATTTATTTTTTTTAAGATTTCATTTATTTTTTGACAGAGAGAGAGGGAACACAAGTAGGGGGAGCAGGAGAGGGAGAAGCAGGCTTCCCGTGGAGCAGGGAGCCCGATGCGGGGCTTGATCCCAGGACCCTGGGATCATGACCTGAGCCGAAGGCAGACGCTTAACGACTGAGCCACCCTGGCACCCAATTATTTATGATTTAAAGGAAACAATGTAATCTCCCTCTTAAATGAAGACCTACTGCTACTGTGGCTAAAGTTTACTTTTTATGTTTCATATCT